CCAAAGAAAGCCTTCACTCTGTAATCTATGTCCTATGAAAGAGTGAACATAACCAACATTCCTTAATACATTCACTTTCAGCCTCTAGGATTGAATGGTAACAAAGGTAGAGCACTGATAAACTTGGTTACATAGACATTTAGAAAGAGCTCAGTATCTGTTCTGTCTCAGTGTCCATTCTGGGGCTGGCAAATGCAGATCCTAGAAGAAGGGCTGGGTCAGGAGAATCCTCTATCCCAGTTGGGGGGCAGACAGACTTGTCCCCAGGAATGTGCTACCAGAATCCTAACTCAGTTCTCCCTCCATGGGATTTAAATAAACTACTAATCTCAGAGACTCAGTTCCCTCCCCTGTGAAATGGAGATAGTTCTATCCATCAAGCCCAAGGACGATCGGACAAATAACAGATGAGATAAAAGCAGTCTATTTACTTGACAGGGTTGTCGGATGCTGCACTTCTTACTGTGCTGGGTGCTACTGACAATACACATTTTAGATTTATCCGTTGCCCTGCTTGTTTATGAACTAGACGGTTTTCTCTCTTAGCGAGTCACTGGTAATAAATGAATGGTTCCTCCCCAGTACACAGCGCTGCTCCTTCTGGGTGAGCAGATAAGTGGTGTTTCTCAAGATAAACCACAAAGACAGAAACACAAACCAAATCATGTCTGGAATCAGAAAATTCGGAGTTTATATGATCTGGCAAATGAAAAATACAGTGGGTTTCTTTTCCATGAGGCAGTGGAATTCTACAGCCTGCCTATGGTATTGGTGGCCTCCTAGCTCCAGGGCAACCAGAATCCCACTGACCCAGGTAACTTTACAAGCTGCCAAAGGCCACAAAGCAGACATCCCCAGAGCACTCTGCTGCCTTGGGAAGTGCTGGCGGGGTTCACTGTTCCTGCCGGGGCTGCCTTGAGCATCCCTGCAGCCTCCCACGGGTGTGAGATTTCTTGTGTTGGAGCATCCAGGGGTATAAGAGGTGTCTCTGTCTCTGCCGACACTAAACTGTTAGTGAAGTGAGGGATTCTTTAACTGTTCAACTGCCCCAGAAGGACACAAGGCAGACACGATGATATGTGGTCTCTGGCTTCCCAAGTGGGTACCGTTTTCCACCAAATGTCCTTCTGTGAATGGGTCTCTGCTCCATAGCGGAAAGGACTGTGTACTGGACCCTCTTGTCTCCCCAACACAGAGAAGAAGGCAAGTAGCTAACAGAGCAGATGTTCCAGAAATGCTTGTTGGGCTGTGGAGAGGCAGGGGGATGTCCATGTACAGAGGGTACCAGAGGCTCTTTGGTGAGCTGATATGAGGGATATGGCTGTCGCTGCTAGATGGCCTCTTTAGAAGAAACTAGGACTAAAACTTATGGCACTAGATGGAAATTTTGGACAGGAAATAAAGACTATGATCCTACAGACAGAGAGACTTGAGCTCAAATGTGAATTCTATCACATATCAGCTGTGAGACTTTGGGAAAGTTGCTTAACCTCTCTGAACCTCAGTTTTATCATTTGTAAAGTGTAGGTTAATCAAAACATCCTTATGCAGCTTTTAAGGATTCAGAGATAGAGGATGTGGATGTGGGGGTGATGCCTTCTCTCCTCAATCCCCTCCACCGCTGGTCATGGCTCATTCGACAAGAGCTGCTACGAGCACTTCCAGTCCTCCCAGTTGGGTGTAGGAAGGGAGCTTCTACAGAGCTTTCCCTCACTCTCCCCGTTCTCCACAAGGGGCAGCCAGTCTAACTAGCTGGCAAGCACCTAATAGTGCCTGGCCCACAGCTTCCAGGTACTGGGAGGTGGGGGGGGTTGTCAAGGGCCCTGCTGGTGTCAGGGTCTGCCACTGGCCACTGACCCGCCCACATTCCCTACTCTACGGCACCTTCTTGGCACCTGCTTTTCTGTTCATGGGTGGGAAACTCAGGGCTACCTCCTCGTGTGCCCAGAGCTTCTCTGTCTTCTTCTTAGGCTGAAGGTTGGCAATACTCGATCTAGCCCATTCCAGAAAGCCCTCCATCAATAAAGCTGATACACTGATGGGAATTTGTCTTGCCTTTCTTTCTTTTATTTTTAAGCTTACTTCTTTATTTTGAGAGAGATAAAAAAAAAAAAAAAACATGTGCGTGTGCACAGGAGCAGGGGAGGGACAGAGAGAGAGAGAGAGGGAGAGAGAGAAATGGAAGCAGGCTCTGCAAACCCCAACACAGGACTTGATCCTACAAACCGTGAGATCATGACCTGAGTCAAAATCAAGAGTCAGTCCAACTGAGCCACCCAGGTGCTCCTTGCCCTTCTTGAATCTATTAAATAGACCAGAGGGAAGGAAGGCTACGTTTTAGGCAGTGTTTCAGAGTGCTTAGAATTTGATAGCAAATGGTAGCAAAATATTAAGAAAGCTCTTTGAGGGCCTCTTGCAGGTCATCCTGTTTCAGTACTGGTTTAAAGTCCAACATTATTTTGACCAGTGGTTCTCAAGGGCAGCGGCACTGCCCTCTAGGGGAGGTTTGGAAAACTAAGAGGGGGTTTGAGGTTGTCACCATGATCAGGGACACTATAGCAGTGTCCCTTATCCCCAGGGATACCTTCCAAAGAGCAGATACCTGAAACCACAGATAAAACCCTACACACACACACACACACACACACACACACAGTATAGTTTTCCCTATATACACGTACCTATAATAAAATTCAATTTATCAGTTAGGCATAGTAAGAGATTAACAACTATCACTAATAATAAAAGAGAACTATAACACTATAGTATAATAAAAGTTAGGTGAATGTGGTTTCTCTTTCAAAATATTTTACTGAACTCACCCTTCTTGTGATGACATGTGATGATAAAATGCTTATACGATAAGATAAATGACATCCGCACTGTGCCATTACCATTAGGCTACCATTGACCTTTTGAGGCTATGTCAGGAGGAGGATCATCTGCTTTTGGGCCACAGCTGATCATGGGAAAATGCAGGAAGTGAAATATCAGGTGAGGGGGTGTCTACTGCACTGGCATTTAGCAGAAGGGAGAAAGACGCTGACACCCTGCAGAGTACAGGGCTGTCATGCACAATGGGGTGTTTTGTGCCCCTCATGACTTCTAAATATTTCACTAGACATACATATAGGTTTAAAAAAAACCTTGCTAGGGGCGCCTGGGTGGCTTAGTCGGTTAAGCGTCCGACTTTCGCTTAGGTCATGATCTCGCGGTTCGTGGGTTCGAGCCCCGTGTTGGGCTCTGTGCTGACTGCCAGCTCAGAGCCTGGAGCCTATCTCAGAGTCTGTGTCTCCCTCTCTCTCTCTGACCCTCCCCTGCTCACGCTGTCTCTCTCTCCCTCTCTCTCCTAGAAATAAATAAAAATATTAAAAAAAAACAACAACCTTGCTTATGACATGTATTTACACATATGTGTGCCTTTGTACATATCTATGTATATTTATGTGTGTATATTTCTCAATTTAATATCAGCAGGTACAAAGAAAAATATAGACAAATATTCCTACCAAACTATTAGGAATGCTATGTTGGTTGGCTTGGAGTCGAGTCATATGGACTTTTGATAACTCAGTTATACATGTCTATTTTGTTTCAGGTTTTTATAAGAACATTGCTATTGGAAAAAAAACAATTAAGGTAACCAAAAAATGGGCAAGATATGTTAATCAACTTACAAGAAAAATCCAGTCCTAAAGATATGATATTTTAGAAATAAGTTTATTTTATATTAATCCATTAAAGTTGGGTTACCAAAAAAATCAGCTTATAATTTTCTGAGCCTGGAAATGAAACTGTTTCATATATAAATACAACTTTTAGGGGCGCCTGGGTGACTCAGTTGGTTGAGCATCTGATTTCAGCTCAGCTCATGATCTTGCATTCATGGGTTTGAGCACCCACATTGGGCTCTGTGCTGACAGCTCAGAGCCTGGAGCCTGCTTTGGATTCTGTGTGGATTCTCTCTCTGCCCCTCCCCTTCTCATTCTCTGTCTCTCTCTCTCTCAAAAAATAAAATGTTAAAAAAAAGTAAAAAATAAATACAATTTGTATTTCTGCACGGTTTTGATAGGCACTGAATTTTCCAGGAATTCAATTACTATGAAAATGGAAAGGAGGGTGTGAAAAATCATTTACCACTTAGAAGAACCCATTGTTGGCGGTATCTGAGTCTCCAGTACAACAGACATGTATCAGTCGGTCAGCATTTGAGGCCATGACATTGGCAGTGATTCTGACTATTTCATTATGTCCTCATGTGCAGGCATACTGAGCGATTCCTTTCCTCTTACTTCTCTTTTATATTTCATTTAGGGCATATGTTTGATTCCTAAATTTGATTTCTAAATTACATAATATGTAATGGGGCACTTGGGTGGCTCAGTCGGGTAAGCATCTGACGGTTGGTTTCAGCTCAGGTCATGATTTCATGGTTTGTGGAATCGAGTCCCAGGTGGGGCTCTGCACCAACCATGAAGAGCCTGCTTGGGATTCTCCCTCTCTCTCTTTCCCTCTCTCTTGGCCCCTCTTGCTCATGCACGCATGTGCTCTAAATAAATAAACTAATTAACTAACAAAAATTTCTTTTAATCTTCATATGTAGGTAGACTATATTGTATATGAATGGCATGTCAGGGTACTGAAGGGGAGCATTATGAAACATTTGCTATAAAAAGGGCCCGTTGGGGCTGACAGGGTTGAGAGCCACTAATTTAGCCTCTCAGGTCACAAGACAATGCCTCCACCAACTCTGACCTCCAGGCACTTGCCTACACTTTTCAGGCACTCAGCAGTAGCAGCAGAGGAAGTTTGGAGAAGGACTGTGCTTGTCGCAGCACATGATGACAAGATCTAACTTGTGTAAAACAGGATCTTCATTTCTCTGGGGCCAGGGTGGGGGTAGGCTAGGGACTTCCCCCCTCCCCTAGCACCACATGCCAGAGTGAAGAAAGCCGTGTGTCAGCAGAAAGATGGAAGCAGAACCGGGCCATGCTACTTACAGAGGTCTTCGGTGGCAGCTGGGACAAAGGCAGCCATGGACTCGTACAGCTCCTCGTCACAGCCGGGGTTGAGGGAGCACTTCATGAGCAGGTCTGTGGAAAGGTGGGCCATGGACTCATACACGGCGTCGGCCTCCTCTCCTTGCATCAGTTCCTCTTTAATGTGACTCTTCAGCATGTCCACGGTTTCCTGAAAGGGAAGGCGGGAGTCACAGGCCAAGCCTGTCCTTCTGGGTAGTGTTAGGCCTTCAGGGGCTCGTGACAGGCAAAGTCAAGGTTCACATGGGTCAGGGTTCAGCTGTGTGTGTCTGTCTGTATTTCCCACCAGCCCGAAAGCTCTCGGAGGCCAGTCTCCAAGTCTCCTTCTGTTTGTTTTAATCTTTCTATCTCCTCCCAACACAAAGCACAGAGTCCTACACACAAGAGACCATCATTAAGCATCCAATGACCAGAGGATACAAATTAAAGACTTTCTCATGAGGGCCTATTACAGGTCAGGTACAATGCCCCATGTTTGCCTATACATTGCCTCATGTCATCCCTTCCATAACTGCTTAAGAAAGTTGTAATGTTTCCTAGCTCATAGACGAGAAAACCTAGTGCCTTACTCAAGGGTGTGCAATTCTACCTTCTGACCGTTCTACTACCCCCCTGGTACCTACTTAGGGAAACAAGTGACACCCAAGGCTGTCACCCTTACTGACCAGCTAGGTGGAAATCCAAATGGGCTAAGCAGGACTGCAGCTAAGATGTCCCTGAGCTAACGTGCAGTCAGACGTCCCTCAGCTGCTCGGGGCCTAGTCCCTGTTCCTTCCAGCAGGCTGCTCTGAAGTAGCTCCCTTGCTTTTCTACCCTGTGTGCCCGAGAGCAGAGGCGGTCTTGAATGAGGTGCCCTGCAGTCAGACAGGCGGCCCTCTGTCATTCTGGCAGCAGGTGGTGGTAAAGCCGGAAAGCAGGCTTCCCTGAAACCTCCGCACAACTTTCCTGGTAAGAAACTCTGGTGTTTCACAATCCCTATTTCAGCACCAACCCACAAAAATCCTCGTTTTCATCATCATCACCCCAAGAGAACTAATCTGCTATTGACACAATGTGCTGGTTTCCTGATGAGTCCCGAGGAGTGGCCCAGGTGACAGCTAGGAAGTGGTGGAGACTCAAGGTCTGGCGCTCGGTTTTGAGGTGGTGGAAAGAGGAAATGGGACAGTTCTTAGAGGTCATAAACAATATGCGGGGCAACCTCTTGGCAGCAATGCTGGAGATGCACCGGCTGAAGGTGATTTTTGGTTGGAGAGCAAAGAAGATATGAGCAATGTGAACCAGATGAACCTCAGTGTCAACTGAAAAGGCATCTCGAAACTTCCCTGTTACATAGAGTAGAATAACAAGCCCAGCGTGAGCATCAAGCTAGGTTTGCATCCCATTTCCACCCTTACTAGAGTGTGACCCTGGCACAGTTCCTCTGCCTTGCAAAGCCCTTCTCCTCATTTATTAAAGAGATAACAAAACTGCCAACCTCAAAAGGATTGTGGCAAGGATTAAATAAAATGCTGAGTTTGCCAATCAAATTCAATAAATGGTAGTTATGGCTATGAACATAGTATGTCCCCAGTAAAAACTGTCGGCATGGAAATGAAACCTTGCACTTGATACATTTGTGACTTCAAAGGAAAGTCAAGTAAATAGTCCTGGCACTGCGAACACTGTTTAGACTCATTTCTGTAGACCATGCCCCAAACAGGCCCTCATGCTATTCTACTCATTTGACACACATAATCACCCCCAAACTGTGGGGAGCCCCTCAGTGAGTCACTGTCCTGCAAATTGTGAAATACAGAATTAAGAACACAGAATTAAGTTTCTGGAGAGGTGTAGGCTCACCTCTGTATGGAAATAGAGAGCAAGACTAGATTGTCTTTATTGTTCCTTTTGAGGTCACAGCCACACAAGAGAGGCTGAGAGTCTCAGCTGTGACTCGTGAAGATGAAGGAAAATCAGAAGAGGGTGGAGTCAGGAAAGGCAGGGGCCTCCAAGACAAGAGAAGCAATATTGGGGCACGAAATAAGGCCAAGGCAAGGATGAGACTATACTCAGAGAAGGACCCAGAAGTCAATGATCAAGGAGGATCTGGGGGTCTAAAACCAGATGAGCAAATAAACTGGGCCTATCTCCCTTAGATAGACAGAGGCTCAGAAAGAGAGACAGGCCATTGGCACAAGGTGGGTCCTCACAGGTGGCCTCCCTGAAGCATCAAGTGCAGAGCTTCATTGTGGTCTTTGCTAAGGACAGAACCAAGGCTGACAGTTCACCTGGACCTGACAGTGGGCGAGGCAGCTGGGAGCTGCCTTGGAGGCAAGGTGCCTCCAAAGTGCCTTGGAGGTGGGGGAAAGGGATCAGCATTAACCTCTGGCAGATTCACTCTTTAAATGTCTCTGTAAATTTTCTGAGGGTGGACCACAGTGTTTTACATACATTATTTCCTTTTATCCTGAAAACAACCCTATGAGTAGAACGGGTATTACCTTCCTGCTGTACCTTAGGATGCTAAGAGAGAGAGTATACATGATCTGTCCATGTCACCCACTGTGGCTGACAAGTGTTGGTTCAGGAACGTGGACCCAGGTCTATGTGGCTCCAGGGCCCGGCTCCACACACAATGGCCCCACCAGAAAAGGGGCACATGAGCCCCTGCTAGAGACGAAATATAGCCATGTCTCTAGTGAAAAGGCAGCCCTAGGACCTCACAGTCCATTTCCATTCATGGGGCCATCCCGCCTTGACCTTACCACATATTCATCGATGAACTGCCGTAGGTCCCTGAAGCCATGTTTCTCAGCAATGGTGTTGGGGTAGTGGCCGTGCTTGTTTGCCACACTGTATGCCTGTAGAGCTCCCGGGCAGGTGAGCAACAAGGCAGTGAGGTTCTTCAGTCCATACTTTGCAGCAAAATGCAACAAAGTGGGCAGCTCTTCTTCCCTCTGGTCTGAACAATTGTTAAGGAAAACAATGGACACGTGAAAATAAAGCTGCGGGCACCCTTATTCATAGACACAGAGCTGGCAAGACTACCATGGCATCCAGCAGGCACTCAATCAATACTTCTTGGCTGACTGACCTAACATCTGACAGCTTCCTTTGAGGTACCACTGAAGATTATATGCCCTTAGATGGCAGAAGAAACAGATTAATTTGCAAATCTAATAATATCCTGCCTTCTTTCTCTAAAAGGATCAAAGAATCCTGAAAAATAATACGAATTCAAAATATGCTGATTTTCTAAAGGCTTAAGTAGCAGCCACAAAGTACAACAGGGATCAGGTTTTGACTTTCTCTGCAAATTTCACAGCGCTTTAACACAATTGTTTTGTCCTGATTAAAACAGAGAAGTCCAACTTCTTAGCTTTCACTCCAAATTTCATAAAGTATGCCACGTAATCCTAGGTATGTTAATTAGCCTTTCCATGGCCCTTAGTTTAGAACGAGGAGATATTCCCAAACTATCTCAAAAGGGCTGGAAGGATTAGTAAGATGGTATTCAGTGAGCTCCTTGTTTAGGACAGGTTTTGAATGTTGGTATTGATACACCTGAGCTGCAGGATGTCCATTAACCTCCTGATTCATGGGAAACAAAGTACTCCTGGGGGTCACTGGATCCCTATGACCCCCTTCACTAATATCCGGACACAGCAAGTTAAACTCTACCAAGAAAACAGACATGTTTGTGTTGTGGAGTTGGGGACAACTCTTTCTTTTGTTTGTTTTCATAAAAATTGATTTTTAAAAAACTTTTTAAATATTTATTTTTGAGAGGGAGAGACACACAGAGCGTGAGCAGGGGCAGGGCAAGGGCAAGGAGAGAGGATACACAAAATCCAAAGCAGGCTCCAGGCTCTATGCTGACAGCACAGGATTGATGCAGGAGGAGCTGCAGGGCTTGAACTCACAAACTGTGAGATCATGACCTGAGCCAAAGTCAGACACTCAACCGACTGAGCCATCCAGGTGCCCCATAAAAATTGATTTCTAAACCCAACAGTGATAGATAGATAGATAGATAGATAGACAGACAGACAAACATATTCTTTTCTGTACACACACACACACACACACACACGCATATATCTTTTTAATAAGACAAACCCGGCTTCCTATTCACTAGGATATGATCCTTGGGATGAAGGGACTATAAATGTCCCTGGACCCCACAATGGCAGGCTATACTCCTTCCTGAGTGAGAAACTCTACAACTCTCTCATGAGTTGCCACTGGCAGCCTTTGGATACGGTTCACTCTAAAATTCAAGATGAGACCCCCAGAGATGCATGTCATATCATGCTACCCAACTATCATATCAATTGCATCCTGTTTTGGTTTCTTCGTGGGTGTTTTTTGGGTGTGTTTTTGTTTTGTTTTGTTTTCTGCTGAAACAAAACAAATTCTCCCAGGAATGTACTCTGTGCTATATGTAAATACAAATCTCCGGGACTTAGATGTGACTGACATGATAAAATGCAATGTAAATAAACTTTACCAGCACAAAAAAAAAAAAAAAAAGAGAGAGAGAGAGAGAAAATTGAGAATATTAACACTGCGGAATGCAAGAACATTCCACAGTAGAAAAATGGGGAGAGGCAACAAGAGAATGCCCCCAGGAGAAGGACAGAAGGGTAAAAGAACCTCATCCTTGTGATTCTCTTGGCTACGGAGGGTGGGACATGGCTAGAGGGTAACCAGGTTCTACTGTGCCACATCAAGGAAGAGTGGTGTCCACAAGAGTGCCCTATCAGGCCCCCTGCCCAGCTGGCTGGGGACCACCCCCACACATGTGGTTCATGTGACACATGCACACGAGACTGCTCCTCCCTCACTGAACAAATGTTCTGAGCCTCCAATTAGCCACCCAGGCACTGCCTCTGCCCTCCCTGGGCTGACAGCCAGGCAGAGAAGACAGACATAGGTGAGAAACCAGCATAGAGGACAGCTGACATGCCCAGGGAGTCCCCGGCAAGTAGACAGAACCTGCAAAAGTTCGGGAAGGTCTTCCTGAGGAAGTGCTACCTAAGCTGCTGCCAGGGAGTGAAGAGAGGGTTGCTAGGTGAACGGCAACCAATGAGAAGAAGAAACTGTATTCCCATGAGTCAAGTTTTGGCAAGAGGCAGGGTGGAATTTTCACTAGGTGAAAGAAGCTCATATATTCTGTAGAGCAGAGCCAGGAGATGGAGTGGAGAGAGATGAGGCCAGAAATGCAGGAAGAACCCCTTGGGAAGTGCTTGCAAACACGTTAAGGAGTTTGATCTTGATCTCGAAGGCCTATGGGGACCACAAAGGGTTTTTAGCAAAGGGTGGAGGCATGCAGAGCAGCCAGCCAGTGAAGGAATCATCTTCCAAGGACAAGCTGCAGAGCGGAAGCCAGTGAGGTTCGAGAGCGGGAGCCAGCGAGGTACGAGTACAGGCTGACTGGACGCTGGAGCCAACAGAGTGGAGCCAATCCACGGCCGAGTTCCTGAGGTTTGACCTTTAGACTTACTTGTCATCATATCTTCCTCTTCCAGTTGGTTAATTCCAAAGAGGTGCAGCCCACTCGCAGGGATATTGTTCTTCAGGGACTCAGTAAGCAGTTTATCAAGGGTCTCTGTGTTGTAGGGCACAATTTTAAAGGCCTGAACACAAAAGGGAAGAAGGTCAGACTTTAACTCTGGCTATTTCCCATAGGTTCAAAGCTAAAGAACCACAAGCAGAAACTACACACCCAGGGGCGCCTGGGTGGCTCAGTTGGTTAAGCATCTGACTTCAGCTCAGGTCACAATCTCATGGTTCATGAATTTGAGCCCCACGTTGGGCTCTGTGCTAACAGCTCAGAACTTGGAGTCTGCTTTGGGTTTTGTGTGTATGTCTCTCTCTGCCCCTCCCCTGCTCATGGTCTGTCTGTCTGTCTCTCTCTCTCTCTCTCAAAAATACATAAAAATATTTTTAAAAAAAATGTTTAATTAAAAAATAAAAAGGAACTACATGTCTAGGAAACTCAGGTTTCCTCTTGGCATCCTTACCTGACACATAAACTCCACAGGATTCGCAGCATTGGATAATAAATTCCCAATTTCCTCCATGTCAGTATAATAGCTGATGACAGTTTCGCACACCACTAACTCCCCGGAATAGATCTTTAGAGAAACATTCCCAGATGAAAGATCTGAAGAGAAGGAAAAAACAAAACAAAACAAAAAAACACCATGAATAAACCCAGGAAGAACAAGGATCCAGGGGGAAAGTGTTTGTGGATTCACCTTAATGGTAGAGAAATTAACTGGAAGCTAGAAGAAAGATGTTGGAGATAAGGTGGAGGGTAGAGAAGTGAGAGGAAGGGTAGACGTAGGGAGTGAGCAGACCAGCACTTGGGAGGCGTCTGACTCAGGAATTGTCCTCATTGGGTCTGCAATTGAGGTTTTGGAAGATTTACATCTGTTTTGTTCACCACAGTAGGCCCAGTACCGTGATAAACAGGAAGAGGAGATAAGTTTGAAGCACTTTGTACAAAGGTCAGCGGTTGGCACAAGGTGGGATAGATCCTAGCAGGTAGAACCCTGCCTCCACGACACTGGGCCAAGAGAATTGATTCACTTGCTCTGTTGCTATCATTACTACATGCTCCCTCCTCTGCACCACAGGAAGGGGTTTTGCGGGGGAAAGAAAAAATTAAAAATACACCAACCACAAAGATTCGATTCACAAAAGAGGAAATGCAACAAGTGCAGAATGTGGAAAATACTCAGCCTCTCTAATAATCAAAGAAATGCAAATTAAAACAATGGGCTACTCTTTGAAAAAACATCACATTAGCAAAGATATTTAAAATGATAGTGCCTAGGGTTGGTGATGGCATAGCAAACTTGAGAGGAGAAATATTTCAGAGAGCAATTAAACCCTATTTTTCAGGATCCTTAAAAATGCCCATCATTTCAGGGATTCCAACTTGAGGAAATAAAAATCTTAAATGCATACATAAAGATGCTCAATACATCATAATTTAAAGAATAAGAAGACAATAAGAAATCAGAAATTATATAATACAGAACAATGAGAAAATGAAAAAAGATGATACTTCTTTTCAATGGAGTATTATGCAGCTTTAAACAATATGGATTATAAGATGTAGGTCCAACACAAGGAACTGGCTTTAGAAGTTATGATACATCTATACAATGGTCACCTTGCAACCATTAAGCATCATGTTATAAAAGAATATTTATTAACATGGGGAAATACTCATAGGTATTTTCCAGGTAATGAAAGTGGCCTATGAGACTATTCGAAGCTATGTACACAGATTCAGAAAAATACAGAAATCACTAATTTTCTTTGGGGTGGGCAAATGGGCAATTTTCTTTTTTTAAAAAAAAATTCAAATATTTACAGCAAAACATAACAAATTGCAATGCTGAGTATGGAAATTTAGTGCCTCTAATATACATATATATATATTATTTATATAATATATATTTTACATATTTTTTAATATTTATATTTATAAATATATATATATATATATATATATATTTACAGATAGTTTATTGTCAAGTTGGTTTCCATATAACACCTGGTGCTCATCCCCACAACTGCCCTCCTCCATGCCCACCTCCCCCCTCTCCCCCTACACCCTGAGTCCTCAGTTTGTTCTCAGCATTCAAGAGTCTCTCATGGTTTGCCTCTCTCCCTCTCTCCCACCATTTCTCCCCTTCTTCTCCCCCATGGTCCTCCGTTAAGTTCCTCCTAATCCTCCTATACGTGCAAACATATGATATTTGTCCTTCTCTGCCTGACTTATTTCGCTCAGCATAACACCCTCAAGGTCCATCCATGTTGCTACACATGGCCAGATTTCATTGTTTCTCATTGCCATGTAGCATTCCATCGTATAGATAAACCACATCTTCTTGATCCATTCATCCGTTGATGGACACTTAGGCTCTTTCCATGTTTTAGCTATTGTTGAGAGTGCTGCTCTGGACATTAGGGTACATGTGCTCCTATGCATCAGCACTCCTGTATCCCTTGGGTAAATTCCTAGCAGTGCTATTGCTGGGTCCTAGGGGAGTTCTATTGTTAATTTTTTGAGGAACCTCCACACTGTTTTCCAGAGGGGCTGTACCAGTTTACATTCCTACCAACAGTGTAGGAGGGTGCCAAATGGGCAATTTTCTATTTACTTTCCTTCATGGTGGCTGTACTCTTCAACTTTTTGGTATTGAGCACATTATTTTTGTAACAGAAAAAGTATATTATAAAATGGTAAGTTACAAAGTCCATGTGATAGCACAGGGTAAAAAGATGCTAAGAGAATAAATATAAGATTATATGAAGAAAAACAGAGTATTGAAAACAACTCTGTTTTTCAAAATTGTGAACAAAAGCCAAAAGACAGTGTAGTGGTTGGATAAATTTTTTCCTACTTTCCTCTAGTTTCAAAAAATTGTAATAATGTTAATCTCATAAGGATAAAAATTTTAGTATATCTATTTCCCCCCATCATACATGTATGTTTCTGCAGCTTCCTTTTCCTTTAAACAGAACATGACAACCAAATCCGAATGTTGGCTGTCACTTTTCTCAGATGCTGAATAAAGACAGGACAAGTAAAAGAAAGCAAGAGGGGCCTCTTCCTGAACAGGTTGCCTAATTTCCGGAGGTAGATGGGGCTACTTACTGGGGGCCTTCACGGAAATGGTGTACTCATTCTCCAGCTTGGCTTCCACCCTTAATGAGGGAGAATCCTCAGGAGAAAATTCCGCTTCTGTCGTCACCCTCTCATCCAACTTACATCTCACGATGACGTAGACAGTGGTTTCCGCCTGGAACAGGAGATAAGTCAGTGTCCCCTCTCCCTCCTGGGAGCCCTATTAAGGTGCTGGGCAGAGGGTCTCCTGGCTCCCTGACCCCCAGCTCTATCTAGAGACACCGTCCCAGAGCAGGGTGGGGTCTGCTATCCGGCACTGGGCACAACTGCCGAGGGTCCCATTTATAAACCTTTACAGCGATTTGATGGAGTAATTTTACATCTGTTGAACCTAATGTAATAATTTTAAAAACCTGGGGCTTGTATTTCATACATCTTTTTATTTCATTTTTATAGCATTTCTTTTCTATTGTGTTTTATTGTGTTTTTATTGTGTATTAGTCCATGGCAGAATTGGAAAATTTGAAAAACAAAATAAAAAGGATCTTCACAGATAGTTTGAGAAGCACTTTCTGAGAGTAGGCTGGCTACTCAATGTGAAGCTGGTAGACTAACAGCACTGGGAGTTGGTTAGAAATGTAGAATCCCAGGCCTCGCCTGGATCCACTGAACCATCAAAGTCTGAATTTTGCCAAGACTCCCCGAGTGACTCACATGCACCTTACAACATGAGAGGCACCAGCCAGGAGAAGCCCTCTTGGCTTCTGCTCTTTATACTGTTCTTGACTGGGCAAAAATATACCTTATCCCAAGGCACGAAGCAACCTGTAATAGCTGTTTTACTGCTTTAAGATCTCTTGCCAGGCCAGCCACATACGACTATATTGTTTTACTGTGCTAGTTAGGTGGGCGATGGGCTTCTCAAGACTTGAACTGGTAAGGACAGATCCTCCAAAGAGCAGGAGAGAAAGAAGGGATTTCCAGTCATTGCTAATCGCCAAGTGTTCATCCTAAGATTCTATTATAAAGTCCTTTGGGGCACCTGGGTGGCTCAATAGGTTAAGTGTCCAACTTCGGCTCAGGTCATGATCTCAGTTTGTGGCTTTGAGCCCCGCATCAGGCTCTGTGCTGACAGCTCAGAACCTGGAGCTTGCTTCAGATTCTGTGTCTTCCCCTCTCTCTGCCCCTTCCCCACTCGCACTCCGTATCTCTCAAAAATAAACATTTATATTTATATTAAATAAACATTAAATAAAATTTTTTAAAAAATAAGATAAAGCCCTCATAGTAGCCCTTCATGACGAAGGCCACTATTTACAACAGGTGAGGGAGAGGCCTGTCCTGGCTTCTGGAGGCTGCTGAGGCTGAATGTGGATGTTTGTGGTTGGCCCGGCTCTGGCTGCAGCCACGACCCACCTGCCCCTTCTCCCAAGAAACGTAGGGAGTCAGAGAGAATGAGTGTGTCTTCTCTATTGACAGTCAGGACCCAACCCCAGCACAGGCACCCCAGGATCCAGAGACCCAGAACAGGCCACAAGGAGAATCCTGGAAACCAGGATGGCAGAAGGAACAAAAGTCTGGAGAATCAGGGAGGTATGTGAAGGGCACTGTTCTTCAGTTCCAAATGCCCTCACCCATAGGCAACCACTAGCCTGGTCTCAGGACAAGACCACAGGTCTCAGGACAAGAGGAGTGTGGGGAAGACAGGAGGGCATATGGACAGCCTAGACGCGGGGATCCTCACAAGAGCTGGCCAACACGGAGGAAGCATGAAGTGGGCTGAGAACAAAGAAAAGTGAGTGGTGGGAGCAGTGGACTGGGAGATACATGCCCCATCTAATGGGCTGTTAGGCCTGGCCGCTCACCTCAGGCCTGGTATTACCAGATTCTGATTTGAAGGAAGTTGGGAACAGATTCTTGTGCCTAAGTTTTAAAATACTATGCAATCTAAACCAAACATGTCTACGAGTTCAATCTTACCCAAAGCAGCAGTTTGCAATCTCCATAGAGGGAGTCCTTGCCCAATGCCTTGTGGCCTCTGGCTGCACGGAAAACCACCCAAAGGTGCAAGGAAGCTACACTTCCACTTCCCTCTTGTCTCTAGGAGACCACATTGGCAAACTTAGCAAAGGGCTTGTATCCACTGGGAACTATTTTGCTGCTCTGAACTACTATCACATATTTTTCATCAGGAAACAAAAAATAATGAAGAACTACCAATACAATGGTAGGATTCAAAGGACAACGGACTATCCATTGGGCCATCACATTCAAGTCACCTGTTAACACACGTCCCACCCTGAAAACGTTAGTCACATTATGCTTTGGCATTTATCTTATCCCTTCAGCAATCAGTATTGGCAAGTTTCAGCCAGCAAGCTTCAAGGAACTCATGTGGGGCATAGCAGTGGTCCGGTGATGAAGAAGCAAGGTTTCAAAATGTCCCCCATCTCCCTCCTTCCAGCATGAGGCTGGCAGGAACAGACCCAAGCCTCTACCTCCAGGGCTGGTGTGTCTGGTAATGTTCTTGTCTGCCTCATGCTGTATGGTTTTGATCTATGAACTCAGTCTTAGATTGATGACATGTACATTCCTGAGCTCATTTCCGTTGGACCTAAAGGAGTGAGGTATGCTGTAGGCCCAGGTCCTGAGGTTCCCAGGGTTGCTAATCTACAGAGGAATCACCAAGGGAAGGCTGGGATCCCACTGAAGTGCAACAGGGAAATCTCATTCCTTTTACTATAACAAATGCATCCACTGAAAATGCCGCGTTCTGACATTGATCCACAGGCCCTGGGAGCACCTACCCCACAGCGAATGCGGTCCGGCTGCACCACCATCAGGTTCCCGGGTGAAGTCTGCGGCGCCGGGCTCTGCTGCTTCAAGTAGGAAGGGACTTTCTCGTCCTCAGTCTCTGTGTCAGTGACTGAGTCACAGCCAGAATCTACGGAACAAAGGACACCGCTGAATGGGAACACAAGGAAGGAGAACTATCGGGTATGAAAGCCCCAAACATTACCAAATAGGAAATGGCTCTGAATGTCAAATAAATACAAGCTGAAAGAAGTGACTCAGGAAGTCATGAAAGAGGACCTAATGGGCAAAGCCAAATTATCCGGTAAGCCACAAGGGTAGGGTGACAGCAAGAGGAGGATTATGGAGAAGAAGGCCAAAACATCTGAAACAGGCTGCTGCCCAAGGCTGGCAAGTCTAGTCTCAACCAGTGGGCTTCTGGAAGCTTTACCTCCAGACTTCCTGCATTGCTGGCTCTAGTGGCTATAAGGAAAAGAGGCCCCTTCTCCCCAGGTGGGGTCAAGCATCAGCTGTCCATTTAAAGGCCATCTTCTGAACGTCAAGTAAAACCTGTGCTGTCCAGGAAGCCATTATTCCTCAGGGTCATGACTAGCCAATGTACCCACTCTGGAGCAACAGTAATGAGCATTCATTTTCAACAAATCTCCGGTCAAGGTAACTGGGGTCCAGATCAGTACCACAGGCAACACCTCTACTGTTCACACATTCAAGCAGGTGAGGGGGGTGTCCAGGTGTGTGAGGCATGGCACAGAGTGAGATGATGCTGAGATGGTGTAAGTGGAACCTACCAGAGCTCTAAGGAACTCTTAACCAGAATCCATCAATTGATAGGCTGTGTGCAAGATTCTGATTCTGTGTGTGTGTGTGTGTGTGTGTGTGTGTGTGTGTGCACGTGCGCACATGCACGCATGCACTTATACTCTCTGGAGATAGTCCAAAGCTTTCATGAGATCCCAAAGAGGGACAAAATGGTTAAGAATGGGTAGGAGGTGGGGCTCCTGGGTGGCTCAGTCAGTTGAGTGTCTGACTTCAGCTCAGGTCATGATCTCATTTGTGGGTTCGAGTCTCATATCAGGCTCTGTGCTGATGGCTCAGAGCCTGAAGCCTGCTTTGGATTCTGTGTCTCCGTCTCTCTCTCTGCTCCTCTCCTGCTCATGCTCAGTCTCTTGCTCTCAAAATAAATAAACGTTAAAAAAAATTAGGGGCACGTGGGTAGCTCAGTCGGTTAAGTGTCCGACTTCAGGTATGATCTCATGGTTCGTGGGTTCGAGCCCCACATTGGGTTCTGTGCTGACAGCTCAGAGCCTAGAGCTTGTTTCAGATTCTGTGTCTCCCTTTCTCTCTGCCCCCCCTCCCCATTCGTGCTCTTTCTCTATCTCAAATATAAATTAAAAAAAATTTTTTTTAATTAAAAAAAAAAAAGAATGGTTAGGAGAAGGAAGGCTCATATAGTCCCTTTCTTGGACCATCTCTTCTCACTCCTAAATCACTTACAGAGCCAGCCAAACATGTCAGGCGCTGAGAGGACAAGAAGATGAATGAGATACCAATCCTGCCTGTGGAGAGCCCACGGTCTAAAAGAGCAGGTATAGTAAGAGGTAAGGGTTATCTTGGCTAATCCCTTCAGGCTGAGCTCCCAGGGGAGGAGGTGGCCTCCTACAGAGCTCATGGCAATCAGTGCTAGTAGAATGTTGGGCTGGTACATCAGGCCACTGATATGTCCCACAGAAAGCTCTACCCACGGGCTTGCATGCTAGACCTCAGGTCATACAAGGGGAGAGGCTATGCTCCCATGATGATGAAGCCTGAGGTGGGGGAGCTGGGTTAGGGAGCTTAGCACCATCACATCCTATTGCTGTAACTGTGGGGCAAGGAACTCCGGGACTCCCTCAGGCTGGGCCAAGGGCTGAGGCTTCCCAGATAGGCAGCGTAAAAACCACACAGCCTTGGACAGCAGTCTCATCCTAGAGCCTGACATCTGTGCTGACAGATGCCTACGCACAGCCCCAGACTATGATGGGCATTGAGGCATATTCCTGCTGCTCTTTGCCTCTCTGTGATTTCTCCCAAGACTCACTACTCACTATTCCACAAGGTGTGCTGGAGGCAGCCAGGTCTCTGACCTTGCTTGCACAACAGGAATCCTAGCAGAATTTAGTGCTAACCGATGAGGCAAAGGATTCTGAGAGTTCCAAGGAGGATGATGCTATTTTTCACTAGCCATCAGAGCCATCAATCTTCTGTACCTCTATTTTCCTTGCCAATCCTACTGATGTCCTTCTCAGTGCTAATTACCCTCTGCAAGGCTAACTGAAGTAACGTCCCTGCCTCCCTGCTCTCCAAGACACATTAACTGAGGATGCCATTTTCTCCGCTAGATCTGCTCTTCCTGATAGCCTTCTGTCCTTGATTGGTTACGTCTAGAACAGCCAGGACCCAGCCCCATGAACAGGGCTGTACAAGCCACCCAAGCAACTCTCAGCCACCAAAGGAGCCTGTGAAGGAAAGAGTCAAAAAGATCAGTGATGATCAACATTCTTCTGCGTAATTATATAATATCACATCAAGCTTCAGTATTTTATTATTAGATTCCTGGACTATCCCATTTTTTTTTTTTCATTTCTGAGGTTCTTTCTGGAAAAGAAAATAACTTCATTGAGTTAAAACATTCAATAAGTTATTTTTATTAGTCTTTTTTAATGTATTTTTTTAATTTTTTTTTAAATGTTTTATTTATTTCTAGGAGAGAGAGAGAAAGCGTGAGCAGGGGAGGGTCAGAGAGAGAGGGAGTCGCAGACTGAAACAGGCTCCAGGCTCCGAGCTGGCAGTCAGCACAGAGCCCGACGCGGGGACCGAACCCACGAACCGCAAGATCATGACGTAAGCGAAAGTCGGACGCTTAACCGACTAAGCCACCCAGGCGCCCCTAATGTACATTTATTTTTGAGAGAGAGAGCACAAGGAGGGGAAGGGCAGAGAGAGGGGGAGACACAGAATCAGAAGCAGGCTCTAGGCTCTGAGCTGTCACCACAGAGCCAGACACGGGGCTCAAACTCATGAATGATGAGATCATGATGTGAGCTGAAGTTGGACACTTAACCAACTGAGCCACCCAGGTGCCCCTCCAATCAGTTACTTTAAACTGCAAGAAGCTCCCCAGAATTGTTTAGATGCTACCCTGGGTGGCTGAGTCCCAGGCACCAACTTTTGCCAGTTCTTAATTCTAATTTACAATAGAGGTACAAGCTCCTTGGGACAGACCCATTGTACAGTCTAGCAATGCTTCAAGAAAGAAAAACTTGTCATTTCTGCCAAATCACTGATCTATTATTAGTCAGCTAGCCAAAGAGTCAAAGCTCTAGTAAATAATATTAAGGAAACAGCAGAGAAAATATAAATAGGCAATAAGAAAGCCAGGATAATAAAAGATGTACAGAATTTTAGAAACATGCTGATGGGAAAATTCTATGCTGAGAATTTTTTACATTTCAATACAATTTTTATAGAAAAATATTAATTACCAAAATGGTCTCAAAATAAGTAGAAAATCTGACTAAATCAAGAATCATAGGTTACATAGGTTTTATGTCGCTTACTAAAGTTTAAGAAACAATATAGTCCTATTTTAACCTACATTTACAAAAAATTAAATACAATGGATAACCCAAAATCAAGCTTCATTCTCATAAAAACTTAGTATGTGTTAAAGAAAGGATTAAAGGGGTGCCTGGGTGGCTCAGCTGGTTAAGTATCCGACTTCAGCTCAGGTCATGATCTCACGGTTTGTGGGTTCAAGCTCCACATCAGGCTCTGTGCTGAACGCTTGCTCAGAGCCTGGAGCCTGCTTCGGATTCTGTGTCTCCTTCTCTCTCTGCCCCTCCCCACTCATGATCTGTCTTCCTCTGTCTCTCAAAAATAAATAAATGTACAAAATTTTTAAAAAAACAAAGCATTAAAAATCAGTATAAAGAAAATGGTTGATGAAAAGGATGACTCAGGAAATGGTGCTGGAAAAATTTAGCTATTTGGGGTGGGGGTGGGGAAATGGAGGGACTATTCAGATGCTTCCTAATTCTCACATACCCTAAAATAAAGTTTATTTGGATTATAGACTCAAGTGAACAATAAAACAGATTTTAAAAATTAAAAAGATGAAAATATGGGTGAAAATTTAACACTAGCTTGGGAAAAGATTTGTTCATCTTAAACAACAAAAGGAATACAATCTAAACAAGCAATAGGATTGGTATGAATTTAAAACTTTGGTAAACAAAATTTTAAAAACCTAAAATCTAAATCATACTGATTTGGTGGGATTAGTCATAATAGTCAAAATTGGAAACAACCCAATTGTCCTTCAACTGATGAATGGATAGACAAAATATGGTATATTATTGAGTCATAAAAAGGAATAAAATGTTGAACATTGAAAACATTATGCTGAGTGAGAGAAGCCAGCCACGAAAGACCACATATTATTTGATTCCAAATATATGATATATCCATAAGAGGCAAATCTATAGAAACAAAAAGTAGATTAGTGGTTGCCTAGGCTGGGGTGTTTGGTTGGGGCTAGGGAGTTGGGGGATCATAGTTAAAGGGTATGTAGTTCCTTTTTTGAAGTAATGAAAATATTCTAGAATTAATTGTGGTGATAATTGTGTGCAAAAGTCCAAAGAAAGCCTCACTGAATTGTACACTTTATTTTTTTTTTAAATGTTTTTTATTTATTTCTGAGAGAGAGAGACAGCGTGAGCAGGGGAGGGTCAGAGAGAGAGAGAGGGAGATACAGAATCTGAAACAGGCTCCAAGCTCTGAGCTGGCTGTCAGCACAGAGCCTGACATGGGGGCTCAAACCCACTGACCTTGAGGTCATGACCTGAGCCGAAGTCGGCCGCTTAACTGACTGAGCCACCCAGGCACCCCTGAAGTGGCTGTCTTGTATGTTATGTGAATTACATCTCAATAGAGTGGTTACTGAAAAATCCAATGGCAAGTAACAAACTGGTTTAAAATTAGAAATAAGTAAGCCAAGGGGCTAATCTCCTTAAAATATGAAGAGATCACAGAAATGTCTTTTAAAATACCCAATAAGTAGATAATTCACCAAGGAAGAAATACAAATTACTT